AAATATAGGACCTGTATGCAACTTATCAGCATTTCACATTTCTTAGGGATGAATGAATAAATTCTTTGCACTTAATCTTCACTAAAACAAGTGTGTAAATAAATTAAACATCACTCTACAAACAAGAGCAAAAATAAATAGTAAGAATCAGTCAGTTAATTATTAATACCTTCTACAGTCTGAGCATCATGTGGAGATCAGCCTCTCTCTCTCCTGCAGGGAGCAGTTTTTATCACTGCTCTCGTCGTGTCGCTCGTATTCAAAAACAAAATCTGTGTTCTTCCTTTCTTCTGTCCATCAAGAGATAATCCACAGGCAACATTCTGCTGATGTCAAAACTGTAAAAAGCGTGCTGTCCTCGCTTCTGCCCGCTAGAACCACCGGAGTGAGAGGAGGTTCTGCTCGGTTGGAATCATGGAGACACTTTTGGACCGAGGCTGAACCGAGCCGAACTGCAAAGCTGCTGCCAGGGTGGAGAGTAGTTGTAGCTCCGGTTTAAAACGTTCACGGTTCTGTTCCCCCTCAGAAAACTTGTGCGTGACAACTTTGCAGTTAGCTTCAACTCTGTTTCTGATGAAAATAGAAAGTTCTGCCGACATTCTTGCTAACTTGTTAGCACAGCATGTTGTTGTGATCACGTGAGCGCTGCATGCTGGAGCCAAGTGCTGCTGGATAGAAACACTGGAGTGGAGGCAGTGAACTGCTGGAATGGACTGCTAATATTGGATATTTTTTAAGCAGGCCGATAAAATCCGATACTGGTTTTTTGGCTGATATCGGACCGATATCCGATATCAATATCGGGTCGGGACACCCCTACTAAAAACTTAAAAATCATGTATCATTTTCCTTCCATTTCACAATTATGTTTTTGTTATTTTTGATCTTTTTTTAATGTGGATGACCTACGGACCAGTTGTTGAGTTTGTGGATTTAATGTTTGGCCTTAGAGCAGAACTCTTCAACCAAATTATCAACAGCTCAGAGGCCAGACATTCAGCAGTTAAATAAATACAGTCTACTTTAAATGTTTTATTACTTAAAATGTATTTTTACCTCCGCCAAGGGCGAGGTAATGTTTTTGGTTGTTTTTGGTCTGTCCGTCTGTCTGTCCGTCTGTCGTTCTGTCTGTGGACAACATTACTCAAAAACTTGTGGACGGATTGTCATGAAATTTTTACCACTTGTGGATACTGGGCCAAGGAATGCAACATTAAATTTTGGTGATGTTCCAGATCACGATGTGGATACAGGAATTTTTTTTCTTTTAACACTCTGACATCGGCAAAGCCGCGATGCTTTCACAGGGCATGGGTTTCAAAGTGTCCAGCAGGTGGCACTGTAGTATTGGTGTGCCCCTTTGTAACTCTGTTACAGGATGGGGGAAATTGGTCTTGGCGGAGGTTTGCACTCTCCGAGTACTTCTAGTTTTATATTAAATGAAGTCATTTGCACAGTACTGACACTTGGACTGATATATTTGTCATTTAAACCTTAAAAAATTGTATTTTTTAAATGAACTCATCAGGGGGCCAGACTGAAGTCATTTGTGGGCCAGAAGTGGCCCACCAGCTGCCACTTGAATAGCCCTGCTTTAAATGTTCTTGGCTGGGAACAAGCTTCATATACATGTATATATTTAATCAATGGCTGGATTGTTTACAGAGCAGGACTACATCCAGTGAAACAGAAGTAACTTTTATTTTAAGCCTGCGAGCTCTTTTGGTATACTCAAAATAACACTGCCAGTCCAGGAAAAGACTGCTCCGTTCTGTGCTCTGACACATACTGTATGTTAAAACCCCATTTTAACCATGCCCCTCTGCTTTTTGTTTACAGCTTTAACCACCTGTCTGTGCACTCCATAGATGAAAGCTCTTTTGCACATCTGGTCAACCTGCAAGTGCTGGACTTCGGTACAGGAAACACAGAGATTTCCTTTAAAAAAGAGGAAATGGAGGTGGATAAGATGGAGGAAGAGGAGGAGGAGGAGGAGGAGGAAACATAAAACACTCTCCTGCAAACAGACTCTGAACTGCATTTTTTTGTCAAGAACAACAACAAAAAAAGAAGTTTTTAAAGGCGACTGTACCTCTGAGTTCTGTTTCCCACTGAGGCACAGTCAGGTATATTCTGGTGCAGGTTACTGGACGAAATAACTTTCCATTGTGTAGGATGCTTAGTATTGTATATCTTTAATATTTGTATTTGATGCTTGTCATGCAACAAAATGATGTTTGCTGTGCCTTAACATACATGAGATTGTTTTAGCTCAACAACAATAATGTGAGAAATTCTGGCCTCCCATATTTTAAATATATTTTGAGTTGCTGGGAACCATTTTTTCTTTTATAATACCATGTTTGAATTTCAATGGAAACACTAAAGCCACAGTAACCTGGTGAAGAAAAGCATCCTGCAGTTCATTATTGTTGAATGCCTTCTTAATGACAACCTAATTACACACTAGAACAAAATCTTTTCTCTTTCTGTTGCAGCAGATTGAACAAAATCAACCAAAAGACAGAAAGATTTAGTTTATAACGACAAAACCGGGACTTTATCCCTGCTGAGCTTGAGAGCCACAGTTCTAAAAATAATTTTAAAGAGACTTGATCCAGTTTTCTGGATAAAACTGCCATCCTATTTGTAAATGTTTACTGCCTGTCATTGCAGACAAAAGGCAACAATGTTTTACTTATGTTCCTGCGGCGTTGGCGAGATATCTCTTCGACAGCTAAATGAATTTTAATGAAACTCTTGGAAAGTAATCATTATGAGTATACGTAAAACAAAATGGCTTTTAGAGTCAATTCAAGATGGCTGCCACAGCTGTGTGACCTCATCAAACAGAAAAACGGCTCATATAATCCAGCCGATCGTACAAATATTTGGTGTGGAAGAAGCTAAAATTGATACTCAACACAAATTCTACATATAATGCTAAATATTGTAGCATAAAACTTTGTCATTAACTGTCGTTCAATCTGTCTGTTAGCTAAATTTCCCATGAACCACTTAATGGATTTTAATAAAACCCCCAGGAAATAGCTCTTTGATGTAAATCAATTACCCCAACTCAAGATGGCTGCCACAGCTAATGGACATTGGCCATCACAACATTAGTTATTACTCAGTCAGTTTAACAGATCTTGAGCTCAAATGTTGGTGTGGTAGTAACTGAGAGTCATTCTTAGCACATTATCTGAGGTCTAAGACATCTTGTATGAGCTCACATGTGCTGGGTGTTATGACCAAAAATTTACATCACGTTATTTTGAACAATTATACCAATATTGTGGTATTTGAAGGTATCTTTTATTTTCATGCTGGTAGTACCTCTGGCAAATGCATCTGCAAGACATGTTTGACTCAAGTGTCCTGAAGCTCTTCCACTTTTTGGATAAGGAGGGATTAATGTTGTTTGATTAACATCCGAGCTTTTAAAGCCATAGTTTCACTCAACAGAAACTTTCCCTTTCAGGCACAAGTTCTTCTTGAGCATCACCCTCGGCTGTTGAGTCTACCGCTTCTCTTTCCATCTTTTCTGTATCTCTACCACGCTCACTACCTCTAACAATGGCTGTGTCCAAATTCAAGGGCCACGAAGGCTGAGTTTGTCGATCGCTTACGTCACCGCACCGCGCCGAAGGCTGCCCAAATTCGAAGACTCCTCCAACGCGGCTCACAAATGCACCCTCCCTTTTCCTTGATTTGAAGGACCGCTTTAAACCTTCAATTTTTATACTGCCAGATTTTTAGTTAAAATTGTATTCCTTTCCCGCGGTTTGTCCACCATTACAAGCAAACGAAAAAAGTCACCGGTCAGCCTGCAATGCATCATGGGACAGGGGAAGGATCCACCGGACCCATCACTCAAATCTGGGGAAAAGAAGGACACATTTGTGGGATGCATCGGAAGAATCTTAGAATTTGGACAGCCTTTGGTGCGGCACAGTGATGTAAGCAGCCGACAAGTTCGGCCTTCGATCAAAGCAGCTTAAATCGTCCAAATTCATGGCCACTTTCTTTCTGTCTTTGAGGTCGACAAAGGATCCGGACCAGGTAGATCGGGTCCTTTGAAAGGTGCAGTCCCTGAATCTGGACAGAGCCAATGACACCAGCTGCTTTATTTAATGCATGTGCTTCAACGTTGCAGCAAGCCAAAATGTCCACCGTGAGACAGTTCAATGGCAGCCGCAATGTGCTGAATGTTGCTCAGGCTATTTACACCTGTATGCAGGTATACAGAAAATTAACAATGTAACAAAAATATAGATATAAAATGTTTTTGGGGTAGGAACTTGTATACTGCCCAGCTCTAGTTTATGTTTAACATCATTTACAATGTTTGACCAAAAAATAAAAAGGCTATAACTGTCATTACTCAGCATAAAAGAAGGCATTGGCGATATGCATTTCTTTAAGGAAAATTAGACCTTTATTTTTTAAATCTCTGGCAAAGTTTGCTTGTCATTAGGTGGAATACACATTCAAAGTGCTTTCTGAAATTCTCTTGTGAACATTCTAAGCTGTGTTAACCTGATATGTTTCCACTGCACCAGGTGTAACAAGTGGAAACTGTGATGAAAGCGTTTCTGTTCTTTAACATGCAGTGAAACAGGTTCTTAAACATCATATAAAACATATTAAACATGTAGGATGAGATGAACTTACTCTAAATTCAGGTTTTGAGATGAGAATGACCGTGTTGTTAGCAGAAACCTAACATTCCTGCAGTGCTGTTTGTGTGCATGTTCTGTCATTGTGTTTCTGTTTTAAAATTCCAAACAAAAAGCACTGCCATCACATTAGAAGCTTCAGTTTATGTTGCAGCTGATCCTTCAATCCACTCCTGTGTATCACAGAAACAGTATTTTTAAAACATTGTAAAATATTCACCTTCAAACATTCACTGTATTGAAATGAATACAGTAATCACATCCAGTAATATTGTATTGTCACGTACAGTATACATTCACTGAATAATAAAGCAATAAATTATATATATAAAAAAGAAATAAGTGTGTTTCTAATATTCTATATAGAATTCCAGTTTTTCAAGCGGTGGCATATATAAGATGTTTCCTAAAAAAGGTTAAATAGGTAAATTAAGCACTTTAGAAATTAGTTTCCAGTATTACTGCATTTAAAACAGAACAAACACAATTTACTTCTTTTAAACATTTTTGTCAGTCTTTGTTGCAATTTATCTGAAGTTTGTAGAATAAACAGCGGTAGCCAAACATAATACAACCCCGTACATACTGTACATGATATCTACAGGGTATGTACCTGGTACAAGGTTGGTATCTGGTACCTAATGGTTAGGTACTTGATTATACTGGGTATAATCCTGGTATGTATCAAAAAATAAATATAATCAAGTCCATACTGGGTACAGCCTGGTACTTAATAGGTATATGCATGGTGCTAGTTTTATATGTACAACGTACTGGCCCAGTGCTCACAAGTTACTTACCTGGTACCTATAAAGTATATACCAGGGTAATAAATACCAGGTATTTTGGGTAAATACTGTTGTATAACTTTTTAAGTACCAGCATGTACCAGGCTATGTTATGTATTACTACCTAAAAGGCAAAAGAGCTGTGACAATAAGTGTACAGATTAAACAGCAGACAGATAAATTAAACTATGACCAAAAGATTTTTAAAATCTTGTACTCATTAAAATAAATATTGTTTCAGGGCTCTTAAAAAGGTGTTCTTTGTGAACATGAGGCTGACGCAATGAAAAAGATTTGCCATCTGTAGACAACCCTCATGGTTTGTCTTGTTTGATTTTTTTTTAGCACCAATTAGTTTTGCACCACAAAGTATATATATATATATATATATATATATATATATATATATATATATGTAGGTTTTGTGGAACCACCACACTTGTGGTCTGGATCTATGTTTTACTGTGATTTCAGCGTCAAAAACACATCCAACGTTTCAAGTTGGACGCTTGTACACTTTGAGGTCAGACACGAGTCAAAATTGCTCTTGATGCACATGACGCACTGTGCATTTTTGCATTGTAAAGCCCGGCAAGCCTCAATCGTCCTGGCCTTATTCTGCCCTGGTTGTGTTTGCTTTGAGCAGAGTCCCACCTCGATGTGAGCTGGGATCATCATAAACATGCAAAAATCGTATCTTGTTTTATTTGCAACACAACAATGGACTACACCAAGCTCAAAGGAAAAGAACAGAAGACTGTACCGGACAATCCATCAGTATGATGCTGAAGACGAGAGTTCAAGATGACAAAGAACGGTTAGCTCATGCTATGCTTATTGTTGTTACTAACTTGCTACTTTTATTGTTTGGTTGAAAAAAGTGCTACAGTCACTGCAAACAGTTCACGTAAAGTTAATCTTATCCGTGTGATGTAACCCCCATGATCAGTGAACCAGTCAACGAGCAACACTATTTGACAGGGATGTCAACGCAAACACGCAGTGCCTGGGTTTGAACCCTGTCTGGTCCTTACAATGCAAAAATGCCATAAGGTTTATTTTGTCTTTTTCAAGACTTTTTTTTATCCAGATGGGGTAAAATCTTAACATTTTTACTGAATCCACCCTATGGGGACACTATTCCCCTTCTAGTTTCAGATCGAAAAATTGAGTTTTGAGTCCATTTAAATTATATGTGGATGATGACATCACTTCGATCCCTGTCTATTAAAGGTAAAACACCAATGATGTCTTAGAAGTATTTCAGACAATCCCACAAAAGATTCTGTACAAAAATAAATACATAAATAAAGAAATAACTTAAAATTGAAATGCAGTAGTATAAAATATAATGAACACCTTATTTGTATAAATGTGAGAAGACAGACAGACAGACAGACAGACAGACAGACAGACAGACAGACAGACAGACAGACAGACAGACAGACAGACAGACAGA